TGGGGGCAGATATAAACTTTCGTGTGTTGTTGCCAAATTAGCTGGAAAATGTATACCAAAATAAGCCCAATCTAAGGTGCGGAGTCCCGTGCGTCTTGCTGTTACGATTTCCGAGTGACCGTTAGCATAGTATTCGCGTTATTCTCGGTTTTGTCGAAAAAAGAATACCTACCACGCAGTTTGCAGAGGGCTGTACATATCGTTCCCAAATTTAAAGAATCATCCGGCCATCAGTTTAACACCATGTGGCTATTTTTTACAGAAGCTATATGATACGCTGACCATAAATAACGTCGACTGACGTCATGTTTCAAGATTCTGCGGGAAGGGCTGCCACGCTTATAGTTTTGTAGATAAAGATATTAACTAATAAACAAGGTGTCGAATTAACAGTGCTTCAAAACTGCTATAAGTTTTTTTTAGAAAAAAAGAATTTGATCCCTTAAAACTATTTTTTATATAAAATACCCCTCTAATAAAATGGAAATAAACGCATTACATGTTATAGAAAGCAAGTTCATCCATTGAACTGACAAATTTCATATTGACGGTTTCTTTTTGACAAACTTATGGCGAAAAACTACTCTTAATTGATGACGTCAAATTTTTAAGCTCTATTTAAGTCGTTCTACATCACTTAGCGCAAAACTAAGATCACCCATGGTTTCCCCGTGACGAGCTGCAACGAATACCTACCTACCCTTTGTATGCAACCATAGCAATTTGGAAATTTTGACCTTTTTTATCTGACCTGACTTTCACCAGAACGTAACGTAAACTGGCCTAAATGGTCGCCTAATTTCACGTACCCGTTGGTGAACTGGTAACTGTGTTTTCACGTACTCGGCGGTGGACTGGTGACTGTGTTTTCACGTACCCAGCGGTGGACTGGTGACTGTGTTTTCACGTACCCGGCGGCACTGGCGGATCCAGGGGGCGGCAGGGGCTAAAGCCCCCCCCCCCCCATTCGAAACTCGACCGGGGCGGCAATATAACTTAGCCCCCCCCCCCCCAAATGCACCGGGATTGGTCATTAAGGGGATTGACGACGGAAGTTCCTTTAGAAATTTCTTTTCGCTGTTAAGTTGGTAGCGATTTGGCAGCTATTCAATAACCTACCTATCGATTTCAGTATGAAGTTAACAAACTTGCTCTGGCAGCCTGACCTAACATGACCCGGCAATGTTGCATTCACGTAATATGCGCAACAAATTTTTAGGAACACTCACTGAATTTGCGTTGAAAAACTTGTTTTGTTTCGTTATTGTACAAGAAGCATATGAGGGACCTTTTTGCCCCTTTCCGCGAATAACGGTAAAATACTTATTTCGGTCAGAGCTCAGGCCAATCTCTAAGGGTTCAGTCGGGTCACTTATTTCTTAAAACTAGGGCCCTTAACCCGCGCCCCACTGGGGGGGGGGGCTATTCATAGCCCCCTCCCGTTTTTCTGTAATAACTTCCAAACCGCTTGACGTATCGACGCCCAACTTTCAGTACCTTCGGCTGCATCAATTTTACACCTTGTGTCAAAATATGAACTTCGTAGCTACCATAGGTCGGCCGGAAATGACGTTAGAGTGACGTCATGTTCGGCCGATTTCGACGCAAAACATTGAACCACGGCAATCGCTCCCAAGAGCTGTTTTTAAGCTAGATCCAATTTCTTTGCATGAAAGGACTAAGAATAGACTGCGCTATCAAACTGCTATCTCGGATTTTCAAAATTTTGAAAATTTCGAAAATTGTATATAGTAAAATTTAAAAAGTTTTTGACTTTTCGAGAAAAAACGGAAGATATGTGATAGAACGCATGCTTCTGACTAGCTCTAGCAAGTTTTAGCTTAATATCTTCAAAAATGGACAAGTTATACGCATACTTGCAAAAAATTTACAATTATTCATTTTTCAAATTAATTTTTCAGTACGTATTTGACATCATACACCAATATAAATAGCACCATCGTGTTCCTGAGCTCAAACTGCATCCAATAGACACCTTTTTTGTTGAAAAATTTTAACTTCAAAATTTGACCTTTTTTTACCTGAAAGTGACCTGACCTAAGCTAAATTCGACTCAAAATGACCTCGAATGACACCGACGACATCAAATTCTAAATCTATGGCCTAAATGGACCATAAAACATGTGTCACGTGACCGACGCATGATATAATATTTCCGTGACCTGTGATGACCTGACCCTGACCTGAAAATCAAAGTACAAGTTTGGTACCCTCAGCGTATTTAGAGCATCTGTTCACGAGTGTGTATACCAAAAATGAGCCTGATCTGACTTGTAAGACGGCGGCCAGAGCCCAAAATGTGAACAAGCCAAAATGCTAAAATTTTTACTTTGACCTGACCTGTGACGTCATATAAAATTAGGTTTCGCTCGACAGTTCTTCCGGGGCTATTAGCCGCCGTTTGAATTTTGACGATCAGCCCAGTAGTTTCGGAGTTAGGAGGGGGGCTATGAAGAGCCTCCCCCCCCCCCCCCCCCCCAGTAGGGCGTGTTATACGCAGACCCCAGTGGGGCGCGGGTTAAGGCATCCAAGGGCAGTCCCGGCTTTTGAGTGCACCACCTCGGCATTTGATGCTACGACAGATGTTGATTTTGAAGTCTGAATATATGTTACAGGCCGTATGAAAATGTTGTGCCTGGCACAGTCAGGCCATATGAAACAGCCTGAAAACACCGGCCGTTTGCAAACCATGACCTGAAATATCAGACCGTTTGAAAACGGCCTAGTTAGTTTTCAATGGGCCTGGCGAGGTAAAATAACCCTGTGCACTGCCGGATCCAGGGGGCCGCGGGGTCATGCCTCCAAGCCTGAAAGGGGGACCAGCATTGAGCATACCTGTATTTTGGCCCCAAAACACTTACGAAAAATTAATGTGAGAAGGTAGCGTAGTAGGAAGAGAGAAACTACCGTATCATTAAAAGTCTGTGAGCTTGATAAAAGTGTCGGTCATGTCTTCACTCAAGAAGGTCTTATTGCATACTTTACCTCTCGATCGACGTGTGAAGTTATCGTGCAAGTTATCATGATGATGAAACCGATCGCAACGAAACTTAAGTCCTACCCTCATGTTGACAAAGTCTGAAAATTTCATGACCCTGACCCAAGTGACCTTTGACCTGTGGCGTATTTCTCCAGACTATGTTTGGCCATGTTTGAGACCGTGCTTGGCCGGAATCGCGATTCGGCTTATGTCGGCTCACATTATCCGCGCGTTTGCAGTTTTTTTGTGGTTTAAAACGCTCAAACATGTGAAATGATTTGGTCTCATCAATTGTGGTAGGTGTCAATGTCACCTTAGGGCCAAGTCAGGTCATTGACCTTTGATGACCTCGGTGCTTTATTCCGAGTTTAGCATGTTTCTACTTTCTATGATAGTTTCGTTTAGCTGATTTTGAATTTAGTATTTAGCGACCATTTGAACATTAACGAAGTAGCTTTGATGCCTTCGTATCATGTTGCGTAGCTGCCGGTGGTGGTGGACACCTGCTATGCGGACGCCCATAAGTACCCCTACTGGTTGGCCCGACCTGACCTGGCCCGACCTGGCCTAAATGCATGAAGACATCATCTATGATCCAAACTAACATAAACTTTGTGATCAGCACCAAAACAAAAACTATTACAGCCTTAATTTAGGAGGTTCTGACAGGTACTGATGTTCCCGTCTTTTAGGTCTGTGACCTGACCTGGGCGGTGTTTCACGGTACGCTGCCAGCCGCTGCCAGCGCTGTTGGCGCTTTTGGTTTCCATGGAGACATCAACAAGCCTAACCGACAACACTACCGAAGGTTGACCTTAGCTTGCGGAATGCGCTGGCAGCGGCTGGCAGCGCGACCGTGAAACACCGCCCTGGAAGGTCAACCAATGACCAAAGACCTTAAAATCGGGTATCATCGGCCTCCTCTCGTCACCCACGGGCAACGTGGGTGACGTTGCCTCTTGTTTTTTTCCGCGAGCTCTAGCTTGATCAGGGGCCGAACGGCAGGGGGGTCCAAGCTCCAACCGACACGTCCCAGCCCGCGAAGACTGCGCCAAGCACCGACCCGGAGCGGGCTAACTGGTCGACAAAAGCAATTTGAAGTGTTTTCAATGCAATATAAAGGCACGGGTCGGGTGGGCTACCATTTCGAAATATTTTTTTTTTTTTGAAAAAAAAATATCGTTTCAGGGCTGCGACGAAAAATAAGTGGCCTAAATCCGATGAAAAACAGGATTTGGGGGTACCCTAGGTTTGGTTCCTAGCATGAGTTGCCCCCCCCCCCCAAACGCAGGTCTGGATCCGCCAGTGCCGGGCGGTGGACTGAAGGCCCCCTGCCGAGTGGGACTGTCCCGGCGGTGGACTGGTGACTGTGTTTTCACGTACCCACCCGGCGGTGGACTGGTGACTGTGTTTTCACGTACCCGGCGGTGGACTGGTGACTGTGTTTTCACGTACCCGGCGGTGGACTGGTGACTGTGTTTTCACGTACCCGGCGGTGGACTGGTGACTGTGTTTTCACCCACCCGGCGGTGAGCTGGTGACTGTGTTTTCACGTACCCGGCGGTGGACTGGTGACTGTGTTTTCACCCACCCGGCGGTGGACTGGTGACTGTGTTTTCACGTACCCGGCGGTGGACTGGTGACTGTGTTTTCACGTACCCGGCGGTGGACTGGTGACTGTGTTTTCACGTACCCGGCGGTGGACTGGTGACTGTGTTTTCACGTACCCGGCGGTGGACTGGTGACTGTGTTTTCACGTACCCGGCGGTGGACTGGTGACTGTGTTTTCACGTACCCAGCGGTGGACTGGTGACTGTGTTTTCACGTACCCGGCGGTGGACTGGTGACTGTGTTTTCACGTACCCGGCGGTGGACTGGTGACTGTGTTTTCACGTACCCAGCGGTGGACTGGTGACTGTGTTTTCACGTACCCAGCGGTGGACTGGTGACTGTGTTTTCACGTACCCGGCGGTGGACTGGTGACTGTGTTTTCACGTACCGGGCGGTGGACTGAAGACCTCCTGCCGAGTGGGACGGTCCCGGCAGGCTGACTTGAGACTCGGTCAGCGATTCGACCTTGACCTGGCCGCCTTTGGGCGTGACCTTGACCTTGACGTCGACGGGCGCGCCCTTGGAGCCGGAGTTCAGCGGCTCCTCCGGCGGCTCCTTCTGCGCGCTGAGGGCTGGGACGGAGAGAGAGAGAGAGAGAGAGAGAGAGAGAGAGAGAGAGGGGGGGGAGAGAGAGAGAAAGAGAGAGAGAGGGGGGGAGAGAGAGAGAGAGAGAGAGAGCTCTGCACGTGCGGTAGGACAAGAGGGTACTTCCAACGGGCTTGTGCGCGGCACTCTACTGAGCGATCGCTAACGGTGTGCCAAATTTGGGTGCAACCGGCCCAGTCGCTCCCGAGTTCTGGAAGCGGCATCCTGCACGTGCGCACGTGCAACCTGAGTCAAAACTGACTTTTGCACGGCACTCTTCTAACCGGTACCCAACTGTATACCAAATTTGACCGCAATTGGCCCAGCCGTTCTCGAGATCTGGGCCTCGTTTCATAAAGCGAGTCCGTAACTTACGACGGTTTTTGGTCTTGTATTGCAAGTGCATGTGAAGCGATCGCGTTAGTTTGAATTGTTAAATTTATTTATCTCGCAAGCAAGAACAGAATGGAGAAAATACATTTATCGCTTCACATGCTTTTGCAATACAAGACCAGAAACCGGCGTAAGTTACGGACTCGCTTTATGAAACGAGGCCCTGGAAGCACCCACTGCACGTGCGCACGTGCAGTGGAACCCTAACCGTATCACATAGTAATACATTGCCTGCTGGATGCCTACCTACATGCCAAGTTTCAGCAAAATCACACCAGTAATTACCGAGATATTGTAAGGGGAACAAATTTGACACCTCACTTCTTTTTGCATTTTGCACGTGCAGTGGGGGTTGACCCACATCGTATTGTACTGTATTGTATTTACGTCATAGACTCATCCCTTCATGAGATCGGAATCACAGGGCTATTCTCGAGTCAGAGTCAACACACGCTAAGAAATGCAATGATGAGGATAAAAAGTGAACACACATAAACCACACTACACTCACGATGCATAAGCTAAAAGCGGTTACAGCGACGTGTCAGCTCATGTCACCGAAGATAAGAGTTCTAAGACCTTGCTGGTAAACATCGAGGTGGACATGTCCCAGAACTCGCGTGGTAGGGCGTTATAGCCTGCGGCAGCGCGGTACACGAATTGCCGCTTCCCCGCAGCCGAGCCGTGTATGCGGGGAAGACTAAGCAGGTGGTCCTGCCTGGTGCTGCGACTACGGTCTGGACGCTCGGCATTAGTGGCAAATAGTGCAGCTAGTGACTCGGGCTGACCTGTTCGTCTAGCTTTGTGCAGGATGTTTAGGGTTTGGGCTTGAACCATAGTGGAGGGGTCCGGCCACCCGAGGGAGGCAAGGACAGAGGAGATGTGGTCGAATTTCTTTTTGCCGGAGATGATGCGGGCCGCAAAATTTAGAATTTTGTTGATGGTGGCGAGGTTCTTGGCAGACCCGTTGCCATAGACGGAGAGGCAGTAGCGGACGTGGGAAAGGACGAGGGCAGACACAAGGATTGGGAGAGTACCGGATGGTAGGTAGTGGCGGATGTGGGAGAGACCGATAAGGATGCCGAAGCACTTCTGTGATAGTTGCGATACGTGCGAGTCCCAAGTGAGATGGCGATCAAAAGTGACACCGAGATTTTTTGCTTCAGTGCAAGGTGATAGCACGGCTTGCCGAAATTTGACCGTGAACGGTGGGAGGTCTCGCAGATTTTGACGTGAGCCGATGGGAAGTAGCTCGAATTTTGACTCGTTAAGTTTTAAACCGTTCGAATGAAAGTAATCACCAAGCGACTGGAGAGATGCCTCGAGTTTTAAGATAAGGTCAGGTAGCTCGGACTTGTGTCCAGAGACTAAAACCTGGGTGTCATCGGCGTACTGAATGATAAAAGAGTCGCCAGCGTACAAGCTAAGATCGTTAACGACGATGCTGAACAAGAGAGGACCCAACGATGACCCCTGGAAGACGCCCTGGCTAATGTTGAGCGGAGGGGAGCTCTGTGAGGCAGAGATGGCTACGCTTTGCGTGTGACCGTCAAGATAATTTCGAAACCAGGCAGTGTCAATGCCGTGCAGCTCGAGCTTGTCAAGCAATTTAGAATGGGAAATCACGTCAAAAGCTTTAGACAGATCAAGTGAACAGAGCAGAGAGATGTGGCCTTGATCCATGCCAGCAAGTGCTCGGTCAGAGATTTGGAGAAGGGCTGATTCGGTACAGTGATGTGGACGGAAGCCGTGTTGGGTAGGGGAGAGGAGAGAGTTGGAGGATAGGTAGTGTTGAAGCTGTCGCTGTACGACCTTCTCCACTACCTTCGAGATGACAGGGAGGATGGAAATAGGACGGTAGTTTGCAGGATTGTTGGGATCACCGGACTTCAGGATGGGGTGGATTTGGGCATGTTTCCAGGATGCGGGGATGTCATTCATGGATAGGCAGGAGTTCACAACATGCAAGAGAACAGGTCCGATCACACTAAAAGACATCTTAAAAACGCGAATGCAAAGCCCGTCAGAGCCACGAGCAGATGAGTTTCGCATGCTAAAAACAACGTTCTTTAAAAATTCGAGACTGACGGGTTGCACGGTAAAACCGCACGAACCGACTCGCTGTAGCCGCACAGGCACTTGCCGAGACGATTCGTGCACACTGGAGTTCAAATCGGAAACGATGTTTGCGCCTACATCGACAAAAAACTGATTCAGTGTGTCACCATTGACGCGGGGAAAAGTGACATGCGAATCTCGCTTGCCACTCACGACACGCCGCAAGTTACGCCACACCGAAGCCGGACCGTCCGCTGCGATTCGCCCCTCAATATCGCTCCGACTGTCCGCCCGCACAGCTGCACGCACCGCTCGGTTAGCGGCCCGGTACTCGTCAGAGCCGTGCCCGCGGCTAGAGAGCGCGGCGGCTCTGCGAGCCATCAGGTCGCGCGTGGCGGCAGACAGGGGAGGGGCAGAGGGGTTGCGGATTTTAACCGAGCGAACGGGGGCATGACGGTCGAGCACACCGCGCACGGCGTCAACAAGATAATCCCACTTGTCGGATACGGTGTCTGATAAGTAGACCTGGCTCCAGTCACAACACGACAGGTCAAGGTGATAATCAGCGATGTCAATGTTACGGAACATACGAGCCTTGGTGACAGTAGGCTTACGTCTAAATCGTGGGATGTCACAGATCATGCGAATGAAACGATGAGGACTAAAATGGCAAAACCTAGTACCTGATTTAAGAACGAAACTACGGTTGACAATAAAAACATCCAGAAGGGAGCCGGTGGAGTAAGTGGGAGTCGAGATGGTCTGCGTGAGCGAGTATCTGTTCAGAAAGGCGGTTAACCTCTCGCAGCCAGCATGTGAACTGGGATCAGCTAGCATACAACAGTTTAGATCACCGCCAATGATGACTGGCCGGCCGGGGTAACGGAGCGTGACGTGCTGGTACTGTGCGTCCAGTTCGGAGAAGTCGGCGTCAAGCGCGGCCGCGGTACGCCGCGGTGCTCGGTACACGGCGCCAACCACGACCTCTTGACGGCCCCACCGGTGCAGCTGCCACAGTGACTCAAGCTTAGAGTCGTCACTGCGCGGGGCTGGAACGTCAATCTTCTTGGTCTCCATACCGGCTCGGCTCAGCACCGCCACACCGCCGTAACCCTTGGGAGTAAACTTGCGGTCACTGCGTTTAAAGTCATAACCAGGGAAAGCAAGTAGGCGACTGGGAATGCTGGGCTTGAGCCATGACTCACTGATGAGAACAATGTCGTATTTAAACCGGTCAAGTTCATGAGAAAGTTCGACGGTCTTGGGTTTAAGAGACTGTATGTTGATGGCACAGATCTTGAACATGCCACCGCTGGAGTCGCGGCGCCAGGCTCCACCCCCGCGCGAGCCCCGCTGACGGTGACGGGCACGCCGGCCGCGGTGAACCCCCCGCGCCCGGGCCGGGCGGGAGCCGGCCGGTACGGTGGAGGCGGCGGCCACCAAACATCGCATCGACAGTATCCGATGTTTGGTAGAAGGATGTAACTACATACAAAAATTATCGCATGTCAACTGCTCAGGCGGTTGCCGAGATATAGGCCTCTCAAAATTGCCACTTCTGCAAAACAGCTTGCAAAACCGCAAACAGCTTGACAATAACAACACCTGACTTCTCTCATGCCACGTGCCACGACGGTCACCTAGATGCATCGAGAGTAGTCAACTACGGAATAGAAGGGATCTCAACAAAAAAAGAAGAAGAAGAAACGCAGGCCAATCGGTCCAGCGGTTGCTGAGATATACATAAGCCTCTCAAAAGCGTTACAAGCCGGGTCGGGCCGGGCCGGGCCGCTCATACTGAGATTTTCCGTTATATTGGAAAGACTTCGCTTCGCTCGCTCGCTCGCTCGTAGTCAATACTTTTTGTCAGAACTCAGAGGCCCCACGAAACTCAAGTGTGCTATGAGAATTCTCTGAAATATCGGATTATTTAGCAAAAAAATAGGTTAGAATGAAAACTAGTATCTGTTAAAAAAAAAAACACGCATAACAAGAAGTTCATGGGCTTTCAAAACCAGAACTCATTCATTGTCCGATTAGTTACCTACATCCAATGCTCAATTTGTGAATGGGTATAAAAACATTTCAACAACCCAGAAGAGGCCGTCCGCTAAAGCGTTTGCCATGGGCACGTGGAAGGTTCGGTTTCGGCGCCGGCCTCCATGGACAGCGGCTCCCTCTCTCACCCAGAAGGCGCTTGGCCTGCTTCACGGCATCCGCCTGTGAGTGGTCCTCCTGTGTCACCACCGGCTCCTTACGGGTGGCCTCCGAGCCGCCGGCGACCGACACCTGGGTCCCCACATCGGCGACCTGTCACACATACACAGACACAGACCTGTCATACACAACACAGTTACCGGGACCGACACCTGGGTCCCCACATCGGCGACCTGTCACACATACACAGACACAGACCTGTCATACACAACACAGTTACCGGGACCGACACCTGGGTCCCCACATCGGCAACCTGTCACACATACACAGACCTGTCATACACAGTTACCGGGAACGACACCTGGGTCCCCACATCGGCGACCTGTCACACATACACAGACACAGACCTATCATACACAACACAGTTACCGGGACCGACACCTGGGTCCCCACATCGGCAACCTGTCACACATACACAGACCTGTCATACACAGTTACCGGGACCGACACCTGGGTCCCCACATCGGCGACCTGTCACACATACACAGACACAGACCTGTCATACACAGTTACCGGGACCGACACCTGGGTCCCAACATCGGCAACCTGTCACACATACACAGACCTGTCATACACAGTTACCGGGACCGACACCTGGGTCCCCACATCGGCGACCTGTCACACATACACAGACACAGACCTGTCATACACAGTTACCGGGACCGACACCTGGGTCCCAACATCGGCGACCTGTCACACATACACAGACACAGACCTGTCATACACAGTTACCGGGACCGACACCTGGGTCCCCACATCGGCGACCTGTCACACATACACAGACACAGACCTGTCATACACAGTTACCGGGACCGACACCTGGGTCCCAACATCGGCAACCTGTCACACATACACAGACCTGTCATACACAGTTACCGGGACCGACACCTGGGTCCCCACATCGGCGACCTGTCACACATACACAGACACAGACCTGTCATACACAGTTACCGGGACCGACACCTGGGTCCCAACATCGGCGACCTGTCACACATACACAGACACAGACCTGTCATACACAGTTACCGGGACCGACACCTGGGTCCCCACATCGGCGACCTGTCACACATACACAGACACAGACCTGTCATACACAGTTACCGGGACCGACACCTGGGTCCCCACATCGGCGACCTGTCACACATACACAGACACAGACCTGTCATACACAGTTACCGCGACCGACACCTGGGTCCCCACATCGGCGACCTGTCACACATACACAGACACAGACCTGTCATACACAGTTACCGGGACCGACACCTGGGTCCCCACATCGGCGACCTGTCACACATACACAGACACAGACCTGTCATACACAGTTACCGGGACCGACACCTGGGTCCCCACATCGGCGACCTGTCACACATACACAGACACAGACCTGTCATACACAGTTACCGGGACCGACACCTGGGTCCCCACATCGGCGACCTGTCACACATACACAGACACAGACCTGTCATACACAGTTACCGGGACCGACGCCTGGGTCCCCACATCGGCGACCTGTCACACATACACAGACACAGACCTGTCATACACAGTTACCGGGACCGACACCTGGGTCCCCACATCGGCGACCTGTCACACATACACAGACACAGACCTGTCATACACAGTTAGCGGGACCGACAGCTGGGTCCCAACATCGGCGACCTGTCACACATACACAGACACAGACCTGTCATACACAGTTACCGGGACCGACGCCTGGGTCCCCACATCGGCGACCTGTCACACATGCACAGACCTGTCATACACAGTTACCGGGACCGACACCTGGGTCCCCACATCGGCGACCTGTAAAGGCCGTCGTCCACTGTGACAGAATTCCGTCCGGAGTCGGTCAGGAATGTCGCCGCTCGCTGACTGTATCCGGACCGCAGACGGAAAGCTGACGGACATTGGCGAACACTAAGTGAAGAGCAGTTATCAGTTATTACAAAAGAAAATATAGTTATTTACTAGCATCACATAGTGCTGCCATGTCAAGGAAATTAGGCTTACTTACTTTATCTTGAATGAGTTGAAATTATATCTTAAATTTCCAATCGAAAACTCGGACAAGGAAGACGGTCCCTGTCGGCCCGTCCATTCCGTCTGCGTTTTCCGCAGAAATGTTCAACATGTCGGACTTTGTTATTTCGTTTCCGTGGCGAACGCTTCCGAAACGCTTGCGGAGAGCTGACGGAAAAAATCAACAGCTGATTGCCGTTCGGATGCGGTCCGCACGGTCCGCACACGATTTCCGTACGGACTGGATGCGCCCCAAGGGTTCTGTGCTAAATTCCGTACGCAAGCGCTCCGCATAATGGACGGCGGCCTTAACAGTAGCACACACACACAGATCTGTCATACACAGCTACCCCGGCACCGACGCCTGGGTCCCCACATCTGTACCTCTAAAGTACCTGTACCTGTACCTGGGACCTGTAAATCATACACAGACCTGACACAGTTACCGGGGACTCAGCGAAATGCGTCCACCTGAATGTGTTGTGTCCGTCTCATAATATATGCTTGTCTTTTACAACTCAACTCAATAATATGTACCAATATTAGCCAGCCTTTTGGAGCTGAGTAGGAGTTGGGGTTGGAGTATGCTGACTCACCGACGAGCCGATGGTCAGCTCTGTCTGCGAGGTGCCCTTGGTGGCCGGTCCGGTCCGGGAGCCGCCAAACTGCACGCCTGAGAACACAACACATCGCCCCGTGACGTCACACACATACGGTCCGGGAGCCGCCAAACTGCACGCCTGAGAACACAACACACCGCCCCGTGACGTCACACACATACGGTCCGGGAGCCGCCAAACTGCACGCCTGAGAACACAACACACCGCCCCGTGACGTCACACACATACGGTCCGGGAGCCGCCAAACTGCACGCCTGAGAATACAACACACCGCCCCGTGACGTCACACACCTAAAAATGGAGCACAGAACTCTGACTTATCACCTAATAATGGGACACACTACTTTGACGTCACATACATATGAAAACGGAGTATAGAGCTGATGTGAAACCTAAAAACAGAACACAGAACTGACGTCACGCCTAATAACGGAACACATAACTGTGACGTCACGCCAAATAACGGGAAAACCTTAAGCACGTGTGTTTGGTGACGTCACTGACCTTTGGCGGTGCCGCCGCGGCCCTCGGATGACGTCAGACCGATGGCGCCCACCTCCGTGCCTTTGTCGGAGTCGCCCCGGGTGCTGACTATGGCCGTGGACGTGGAAATTCGGCCGTCATTCACGGCAATGCTGCCGATCAACGCCGTCCCTGACAGTGACGTCACGGTGGCGTCGTCAGTACCGCGCCTCACGGCAAAACGGAGGATGGGGCTTTACACAATAGGTGACATCATCAATGAGCAGTTTAATTAATCGTATATCGCAAATGTGGCGATCAGCGCTGTACCGGGACCACCATGGCTTTGACCCGCGCACCGACGGGGGTCTGCGCCAACTTCGCACCGACGGGGGGGGGCGGATGACCGCCCCCCCCCTGAGATCTCGAGAACGAAGCAAGATAGCGACAAGCGGTAAACGGCATCGGATACGCACTGACAAGGTCTACAATTTTTACCTAGGTCATTTTCAGGTCAGGTCAAAGATGACGTCACAGGGGTCGAAAATGTCAAAATGGCGGCGCTAGATATGGAGAGAGTTTGTCTCGAATAACATTAGAATTAGTCAAGATAGGAACGAACTAAGGGCATCATCGTGATCCTCTCGTCAATCCGCATCGAATGATATATATGTTGACCTCGAAAGGTCAAGGTCAAAGGTTGACCTCAGGTCACGTGACCTCGAGGTCATCATGTATACCATTCGTTGCGTCTTGACGAGCTGAACACAATGAGACCATCCGCGTGGCTGTATCTTGTTCCTGTACGGAGTTATTGGCAAAAAACCTTTGGTGACCTTTGATGACGTCACATGACCTTACAGCTGCCCAACAGCAAAACAGATCTCAAGGTAGTGAAGGTTGATCGTATAAGAAGTCATGTATGGTATATGGGGCCATTCCGACCCGTTTTAGTGGTAAAAACAGGGAGTTGATTTTCCCCCATTGGCTTATAATGGGGAGCCCGCGAAATTGACCTGACCTTAGGTCACCGATATCAAAATTCCGAGATATACAAATTGTAGCTACTAATGACCTAATAACATCCTGCGACTTTCAAAGGCCTCCGACATCTACTGTAGCTCTGGCACGGTGACAAAGTTGCAAAAAAGTGACTTGAGGTTGGGTCATTCAAAGTGACCTGGTGACCTGACCTTAAAATTTAGGAGGTTCAAACTTGCACACCATGTATAAAATTTATGAGAGAATAGTTGTACCAAATTTCGCGGCGCTACGCGCCGCGGTTTTCCCGCTATCCGCGAAAAACCTCAGGGGGGCGGATATCCGCCCCCCCGTCGGTGCGCGGGTTAAACTACTGTGCCACATTGCTACATATAGGAAAGTGAGGGCACCCCGGACCGTCCGACCCCCTCCCCCTTCTTATCAAACCCCCTCCTACCGTCTGATCGCCCCCCGTTACCGTCTGACTCGGCCCGGCCGGGTCCGGTGCCGGCGCCTCCCTCGCTCTCTCCAATGGTAGCCGAAAGGCCGCCTTTGCCGGGGTCGGCCGCACCCGCCGCCAGCACCGTGCTGCTCGACGTCTGCCGGCCGCCCGGAGTGCTGCCAAATGTGACGTCAGTCAGGGTACAGCACCGTACTGCTCGACGTCTGCCGGCCGCCCGGAGTGCTGCCAAATGTGACGTCAGTCAGGGTACAGCACCGAACTGCTCGACGTCTGCCGGCCGCCCGGAGTGCTGCCAAATGTGACGTCAGTCAGGGTACAACACCGTACTGCTCGACGTCTGCCGGCCGCCCGGAGTGCTGCCAAATGTGACGTCAGTCAGGGTACAGCACCGTACTGCTCGACGTCTGCCGGTCGCCCGGAGTGTTGCCAAATGTTCAGGGTAAAGGCTGGTCAGTCGTCAGTAGTGATTCAATGACAACTGAACCAGAAGAATTCAGGGGCGGTTCTCCCATATAGACAAGGTAGGCAGTGCCTATGTCATTCGTTGTCTTCCTTTCGTCTCCACTCTCCCTACCTAATGGCATTCGTTTGTTTGATTACATAGTTTGGGTAAGAGCCATTTTCTGCACTTCAGAAAATGCTTTAAGTAAAGTAAATTGTTCAAGCTTTTCAAAAAATGTCAAACAAGCCAGTAATACCTAGAAACTTGACAAAAACCTTTGCCTAATTGTGCCTACCTCGTCCTACTAGAGTACCGACTACTGTTAACGCCAGACCCCTTGAGACCCTAATTTTTCGCGATTATTTTTAAATGCGTGGAATAATTTCAACCATATTTAGGAAGTAGCTGTTTCAAGACCAGCCGAAACTTTTTCTTCAAATACATTTTGTCGTCACTTAAATATTTGTGGCACTTATCATTGACTCGTAATGTTAACTGTTTTTCCATCCTGGATAGAGGCTTTCTACGTCATGACATCAGGCTCCGCCCACGACTGCGGCATTGACCCGTGCCCATCAGCGACCTCTGTACAAACGACACCCCTGCCATCTGTAAAGGACTATGAATTTCGCTGACGCTTCACGTGCTATGAATCAATTGCAGCAGACGGTCAAGTAAATGTTAGGCTCTTGTTGACTCTTGTATATACATAGGACCAAGAGGACCATCACTCCTCAACCTACTACTCACACGCTTCGAACAAACGTTAACGATTCCTAACAAATACCATTTTCGATGTAGGGTAGGTATCTGTTTGAAATACGAGCGAGCCTTATGATGTGAAGCGAAGGCAATCAACTTAATATTGCGTTGTTCGATGGTTGCATAGCGATGTACAAATCGGCAGCTACTTGGTGACATCCGACATCCCATTATCGCATTATCTGCAACGCCATGGGCTTTAAATATAGGTGTCAGGTGAATATTTCCTAACCTTATGTCAGTTAGGTATATGCTATCTGCCCGTCATTTGCAGCTTATAAAAAAATAAAACAAATATCAGCGAACATATCAGCATTGTACAAGCAATGTGCATTGAGCATTTATGGCTCCTCGGTCATCATGTCGCTCTTTGGGCACTGCCAGACAAGACGTTACGCACAACTCCGCCGGCTTTCGGCACCGCTCGACCGTCCCCGCTCCCCGCCACAGCGAGAGTGACCGCGCGCCGGCCCGAAACAGCCGCAGGCCAAGACCACAGAGGCGGGACTTAGCTGTTGTTGTTGTTGTTGTTGTTGTTCCCCCTGGGACCTCCTTACGGAGGACCATAGCCGAGAGGCTCCCTATGGCGAAGGTAGCCGGCCTCCAAGGCAGCCACCAGGTCGGCGTCCCGCAGCCGCGACGGGTCGACGTAAATGCTGCCAGTTAGCCGCAGGCGGGCGCCAGCGAGGGCCGGGCAGCGGAGCAAGACGTGCTCCGGCACGTGCGCCTCCTCCCGGCACACGGCGCAGAGCACCGCGGGGCACCGCTTATCGGGGCACTGCAGGCATGCCACGGAGGGGTGGCGGCCGATCCGGTGCAGGTATTGGAGCGAGCGGCCCCAGTGGCCCGCCCTCAACTGGTGCACCGAGATGGCGGCCTCTCGGTCCTCTCCGGGGATGGGGAGCGGCAGGGTGCTCCCGAAGATAGTCTTAAAAAAGGAGTCGGGCCAGTTTTCGCGCCACTGACGTGTGGCCGTCCGATGAACTGCCCGTGTCAGGGACCGAGCGTCCGAGGGCACGGCGCCCTGGGGCAGGGTGGCCGCTTGTTTGGCCAGGGCGTCAGCGTGCTCGTTCTCCGCCAGCCTGCGGTGAGCAGGGACCCACTGCAGGGTCACCTGCCGGCGCTCGGCAATGTCCAGCAGCGTCCTCCAGATCGCCGCGCCGATAGTGGTGGTCTGGGCGGCCGCTCCCGCGCTGAGGAGGCTCAGGGCCGCTCGTGAGTCAGAGCACGCCACCAGCGGGGCGGGGGACGGCTCATCCCGGACTCGCTCCAGCGCCGCCCTCAGGGCAAACAGCTCCGCACGGGTGCTGGAGCAGAGGCCTCCCGCCGCCACCTCCACCTCGAGAGTCTCCCCCGACGCGGTAAAGATGACGGCGCCGCCCCCTCCTCGCCTGACCCTAGCGTCCGCAGAGCCGTCGGACCAAATCCACGTGGCCTGGGCTGGGAGCGCCGCCAGGTGCTGCCGCGCGGCCTCTCGTCGCGTCTCGTTGGAGGAGGCTCGACGACCGCCGGGTCCCACGTCCAGATTGAAGGTGATCGGGCGGCAGGTTGTCCACGGGAGGAGGGGAACCTCGAGGCGCGGCTCCACCGTCACTCCCTCGGCGCCCGCCTCGATCAGCGCCGATCGCCCCAGTTGTCGCCAGCCGGTGGTAGACCGCAGTCGAGTGGGTGGGTCGGCCTCCGCGACGCGGCGAAGAGGGTCGTCCTCCGGCAGGGCGAGCGCTCGGCAGAGCGTTCGCGCGGCCAGCGTCTTCCTGGTGGACCATGCTGAAGGGATGCCCGCCTCGGCCAGCAGGGGATCCCTGGGGGTGGACCGTGGGCATCCGGTCACCACCCGGGCGGCCGCCAGCAGCTCGCGCTCCACCAGCTGAACGTGTGACGGGGACGCGGCCGGGAGCCAGGCACCCGCCGCGTATTCAAGGGCTCCCCGGACATACCCGTTCGCGACTGTCCTGAGCTGCGCCTCGCGGAGACCCCAGGTCCGGCCGGTCATCCTCCGCAGCTGTGCCGTCCGCGGCCGGACCTTCCGCCGCAGAGAGTCGCAGTGGTCTTTAAAATGTAGAAGTCTGTCGAAGGTCACCCCCAGAAGATGTAGGCTGGTGCCACCGGTGACCTGCGTGCCGTTCACCAGGAGTTGCACGCCACGCTCGTCCCTGCTCCGCTGAGTCAGCAGCAGCGCCTGGGTCTTCTGTCCGGCGATGGACATCTTCCAGTGCCTTGCCCATCGGGCCAGGGCGTCGGCCGACTTCTGGGCGCGAGCCACCGCGAGCTCTACGGTGGCTCCAGCGCTCAGTGTGGCCGTGTCGTCCGCATACATCAGGACGTCCGTGCGGTCCGAGGCGTTCCGCAGGGTCTCGATAAGGTCCGCCGCCCAGAGCGTGTAGATGGTCGGTGCCAGGACCGAGCCCTGCGGCAGGCCCGCGCGGAACACGCGCTCGCTGCTGTGCGCGCCGTTGACCTCTACGCGGGCCCGCCTGTCGCGAAGGAACCGGAATATCCAGGTCGCGAGACATCTGGGGAGGAGCTTGAGGAGCTTCAGGTGTAACATCCGGTGATCGATCGTGTCATAGGCACGGGAGAAGTCGAACGCCAGGAGGACAAAGCGGTCCGCCGTCACGCCATCCTCCGGGCCTCGTCTCGGCTTGGGGCGATTCCAGCCATCTTGAACGGTTTGGACCAAGCGGGCCAGACTGTCCTCCGCCGACCTCCCGCGGCGGAACCCGACCTGTTCGGGGGGCACCAGTCGGTCTCGCTCGATGAGGTAGGTCGTCCGGGCCGCGATCATCCGCTCCGCTAGCTTGGCGATGTGACTCGTGAGCGCGATCGGGCGGTAGCTGCCCACTTGTTTGGGGTCTTTGCCGGCCTTCAAGATGGGGATGATGGTCGCCATGAGGCGGGCGTCTCGAAGTTGGACCACGATCTGTTGATGAGTGCCAGAAGGGTCCGGTAGGCCGTCGGTCCGAGGTGCCGCAGGTGTTCGGTGCATACCTGGTCCGGTCCCGGCGCCTTCTTCGTCCCGAGGTGTCGGATTTGGTCGTGCATTTCCTGTTCGGTGAAGGGTTGACACTGGTCGGTGCGCTGTCCCCTGCAGCAGCACGGGGCAGCCTTGAGGCCGCGGAGCTCCGTCTTGACGATCCGGTCGCGCTTGGGTTGGCGCACGTTTCTACTGACGTGGGCGTACGTGCGGACGAACGCCTCGGCCTTGGCCCGGTCCTCCGCGAGCAGTTGCCCGCAGTCCCCGTTGATGGCCCGGTCTGGGCAGACGTCCGGTGCAGCACCCTCCATCTTCCGCAGGATCTTGGTGACCTTCCCTATGGCTGCCGGCTTGTTCAGTTCTCCGGTCGCCAGTTCGCGGAAGCTCCTTTTCTGTGCTTCGGCCTCCATGGTCGCAACTGACTTCTTGGCTGTCTTCCATCTGGATCTCGCCTCCTCCGAGTCGTGCTCCTTGAGGGCGTCCCTCGCCTCCCGGCGCTCCGCCACCGCGGCCACGAGGTCCGGATCGAGCGCCCATGGCTTGGGGTCGGCGCGCGCACCCCGCGGGATGTGGGCGGTGCTGGCGGACAGGATCGCGGCCACCAGCCGCTCGCTGAGGCCCTCCACCGACAGCGAGTCCGGGCGCAGGTCAGCGAGGGCCGCGTCACAGTCAGCCGCGAACCCAGTCCAGTCCGCCTTGTGAAAGGCCCATCGGCTCTTGCGGATCCTCTTCGGTCGCGCGCCGCCGATCGAGGTGTGGATCAGCTGAGGGAGGTGGTCGCTCCCCAGGTCCTCACCGACCGTCCACGTGCAGCGGCCCGCCATGTCACGGTGGCACATCGCGACGTCCGGGGCGGTCTGTCGAGTGCGGTTCCCGTAGCCGACACAGGTGGCCGCGCCGGAGTTGAGAGTCACCCAGTGATGGAACTCAAGCCAGTCGTTCACCCGGGTCCCCACCGCGTCCGGTTCGGAACAATT